GGTCACAGAGGACAGGAGAAAAAGCAATGGCTTCAAATCACAGAGAAGTAAGGCTGGAAGGGACCTCCAGAGGTCATCCAGTCCAACCCCCTGCCTGAGGCAGAATCACCCCTATCCAAAGCATCCTATACAAAGCCATTACCTTTTAGCAAAACTACCATCAACCCTGACACAAGATGTCACACCCTCACCTGCCACAGGTAAAGCAGGGGGACCACAGCAGCTAACATCCTGCTTCTATAAGAGGTTAATATACACTCAAGGAGATCCCAGGTAGAGGCCGTGCCCCCGCTACAGAGGATGGCAACCCCACCCAAGTCCATACCAATCTGACTATAGGATAAAATCCTAACCAGTAGCTGTCCAACCTCTTCTTGAGCTCCTCCAGGGATGGAGGGGCCACAGCTTCCCTAGGCATCTGCTCCACCACCTCGCTCTTCTAACAGTAAAGACATTTTCCCTGAGAGCCAACCTAAACCTGCTTTGCCACAACTTCAAGCCATTGGTTTGTCTCCTACACTCTGCACCAAGAGAGAAATGACAGCGTGGACGTTTAGTCTGGAGATTAGGAAGAAGCTTCTCACTATGAGGGTGCTGAAGCCCTGGACCAGGCTGCCCAGCAAAGTTATGAAACCTTCTCCCTTGCAAGTTTTTAAAAGCAGCTTGGCTTGGCTGGGATGGTTTAATCAGGGATGCTCCCTTCATGGGGCAGGGGGTTGGAGTAGATGATCTTAAGGCTCCTTCCACCCCTACTTTTTATGATCTCTCTTCCTGCATTTTAGTGGGTTCAGTTTGGGTTGACTATACGGATTATGGCATCCACACTGGTCCATTTTTTTATTTTTATTTTTTTACTTTTTTGCAAGAATTGCTGATCTGAATCCAATATACCACTTCATAATGATCTTTTATTCCCTCTCCTTCCTGTGGCACTGAATACTTGTGGCCCAACCCAGCCTATATGATGGTGTTTTTATGTCAAATGTTTGGCCAAATATATGAAAACCTTTATCTTCCTTCTCGATCTTGAAGCTGGTTTCAGTGTGACCCCACAAGGACCCATCCCATGAAGCCAGTTACAGGATCCGGCCCCAAGAATGTAATAGTCTAAGAAAAGGCTTTTAAATTAAAGATCATTAAATAAGAGCTGAAGTCCTTAAGACAGTTATTAGGAGATTGTTCTGTAAACACTTCAGGTTGCTTTAAAGCTTCGTGATCTCAGGGAGATGGATTGGACATCTGGGACAATAGAAAAACGAATCTGGATACAACAGGGCTTTATAGCAATGGAGTCCCACAAGCCTGAGAAAGCCCATGGCAAACACACTTTTCTGTAACACTTTGTCATCGCAGACACATTTTGTTTCATGCAAGATGGCCAATCTGGCAATCTTCACTCAAGTAAAATTCCCTTGGATGTCAACAAGAGCTTTGCTCATGAAAATACCACAGGATCCATCCTAGGATTTCAGGTTTTATTCTCTTCTCTTGCTCACTCTCCCTCTTTAAAACTATTACACAAGCAGAGGGGTGAAGAGAACAGATTAAATACCCCTTGCTTAATTAATCATTAATTTGCTCCCTTTCTTTTTTCATTATTTAATGTAATATGGTTTAGTTGCTACAGCGAGCATTGCCATGCCAAGATTCTGGGTTCTTTTTTATTGGTGGGGAGTTTCTTAAAGCAATTACAGTGAGCACATAACAAATTAAATATTAATTATATGCACAAAAGAACACTTGCTAAGTCAAGCACTTTGAAGTTAAGAAACATATTCATTAAGGGTGTTTATATAAGCATCATTTCATCTTCTTGTACATACACGTTATAGCACTGGCTTATCCTGTGATCACAACTTT